GAGGGGGAGGGGGAGGGAGAGAGAGAGAAAGAGAATGAGAGAGAGAAGATAATGGAGAGGCGAAGCGAAGGAGAAAGAAAGCAAAAGAAATTCAATTCAAGTTGGGAAAGAGAGGAGGGAAATAAGATGAATTTTAAAAATGATGCGGTGGAGGAGATGAAGGTGAACAAGAAACAGAAGAAGAAAAAGGAGGAGGAAGAATAGGAGGAGGTCAAACATAGGAGGAGGAGAAGGGGGAACAGTACAGCCCAGTGCTTGGTTCTAGATTTTTTTCATATATAGTAAATTTTATGGCACTTACAACACAAATGCATCGTATAAGTGCTGAAGAATAGAGCAGGAAGAGGACAAGAAAGCAACAGGAGGAAAAGAAAGGAAGAGGAGGAAAAGAAAGTGAAGAGCAAAAAGATGATGAAGACAAGTACTACTCACAATAGCATTGTTATACGCCGACGGGTTGTCAAAAAGTGTAATGGTCACCCCACATTCGTTGAACTGAATGTTCTCCACAAGGTACTCGATGCGTGTGCCAGAACGCGACCGTATGGTTACATCGCAGTCATCTCGTGTCGGCGCGGTGTCGAAACGAGGTTGGTGGTACGCTGTGATGATTTGCTCCTTATTGGACAAAAGGAAACCATCGTCCAAACGATCACAGCCTGGTCCTGATAAGTCCACTAGAACAGGATACACAGGAATGTTCTCTTTAGTACAGGAGTAGTGATTATAAAATAAAACAATATAATAATAATAATAATTGCAAAAATAACCTATTGAAATAATCTATAATAAAAAAATTATTCTATTAATCAATAATAATAATAATAATAACAATAATAATATTAATACAAAGCACAATAACAACCATAAAGAAAAATTCAAAACTACAATCATGTTACAAACTTTCAGTGTTTTACCTTAAAACGGTAGTAATTCAGTCAAATATTGATAGATTTATTTGTGTGAGCACTCAGTCTATAAATTCGTAACTAGAAAGACAATCATAATATGGGTGAAATAGGTATTAAACATAAAATAACACAAGACCAAGTCTAGACCTTGAGGTTAACGATTTCAATACCCTAAAAACACCATTAAGTGGCAGTCCCTTGAAATGCAGAACCAAAAACGATCTTGAATAAATGAGTTGATGTTAATGTGAAGGCAGAAAACAAGGAGGAGGAGGTGGAACAGGAAGAAAGACAAGAAGGAGAATAGGAAGAAGGAGCAAAAGGAGGAGGAGGAGGGGGAGGAGGAGGGGAGGAGGAGGAGGAGGAGGAGGAGGAGGAGGAGAAGGAGGAGGAGGAGGAGCAGGAGGGGGAGGAGGAGGAGAAGAAGAAGATGATGAAGGAGGATGAGGAGGAGGAGGACCACGACAACGGTGACAACAGAAACAATAACAAGAGTAACGATGATGATAACTACAAAACATAGATAGCAATAATACAAATCCATAGGGTACACTTACCCCTCCTAGCCTCAACTCTGAACAGAAACTGCTTTTATAGATTATCACCCACATTAACCCTTTGGGATCCAAAGCACAACAGAGTATATTCAACTTATACCCGCTAATGTACTAAACACAGGTATGAGCAAGCTGAGTTACAAATCCATCCTTTAACCAGAGGGAACTCAGGACTACAGGTTCTGTAAGATGCTAGGGCTCATGGAGCTAAATGCCAAATCCAATTTTTTACCCATTTGACAAGTAGCCAAAAAGAGGCAGGCGGCAATAATTGTCCCTCCGAGAACAAGTCGTTTCAGCACCATGCTGTACGCGTTTTCGTTTCCCGGGCCAATCTGTGTGAGAGGCTTAATTCCAGAAGAAAAAAAACACAGGCGCGCGTTGTTCCGAGTCAGAGGCCTGTTGTTCAGATTCAGCATACAAAACTCCCATTGGAAACCCTCGCATCTTCAGAAGTCCATAGAACTTAACACCTAAGGCATGGTCTAGGAAGGTCTTGTCACTCGTTCATAGGGCAATGGATCTCTGTTCTTCAACCTGGAGAGGAGAGGAAAATAAAAGCTTATTTATATTTTGCGCTTAAAAATGGCGTATTGACATGATAATGGCGGTTTCGTGGTGAAAAAGAACAAGGCAAACAGGCAGGCACAAAAGAGGGAGACAAAAAAAGACTCCAACCATCAGCCAAACATTTTAAAAAATCTCATTCACACGTCTGTACATTGGCGGGTCATTTCCACACGACATTTAAAATCAAAAACTGAAAAGCACAACACAAAAGCAGTGACAACGATTGAGACAGATAAACAAAAATTAATATTTACAGCACTTGAGAAAAAGATATATGTCTTTTGCTAACAAGACAAGCAGCCTAACCATTGCATCACAAACTTCTGAACTCAGGACAAAAAACTGTCGCTATTTGTTTGTTTGAGTAAAGAGAAACACATGGATACAATAGTGGTCATTTAATGCAGGGGGAAAGTAAGACAGACAGACAGAAACAACAGAGGAAAAGTAAGAAGTAAGAAA